ACTCTCTCTCTCTCTCTCTCTCTCTCTCTCTCTCTCTCTCTCTCTCTCTCTCTCTCTCTCTTTCCCTCTCCCTTCAGTTAGGTCAGAACATCTGAAACGCAAGTTTCTCTCTGTCACTAGATGGGCCAGTGTACCACAGACACGGAGAAGGAGTTGGAGCAGACCAAGCGTCACAAACACTCTCTGGAAGGAGAGATCCTGGTGAGGCCATCGATCAGGGAATTTGTTTTAGTAAGAGTTTTACGGCACTTGCAACACAATACGGTCAGAAGTGCCGGAGATTAGAGGGGTTACAAGATAGTAACAAACACAAAAAAGAAGGAGGAAAGATAAACACGACAGCTGTTTGATCGGAAAGAAGAAGCGAACCACACCAGAGCACCCACCTACCACCCACGATCGGGGAATGACTGAACGTAATACTTAGGTTTAACTCTTTAAGGACATAGCTGACACATTGTTGCTGAATCTGGCCCTCGTCGAAATAATTAAATTAAAGAAATCGATATTTTTTCTCCAGAAAAGCAGTTTTCATCGATTTTTTAAATTTTAATTTTGGTGAACACCTTTTATATCCAATTAAAAAGACAATTCTGTGTGGATTTTACTGGTCAAAAGCGAAAACAAATGTAAATTTGCAATTTTCAAGGACTCAAGATTCAAAGAGACAGACTTTGGTTTTCACACTGGTAGAAGAGCACCGAAAACTCTCGGCCCACGATGTCGTGGAGAAATGTATCAACGGCCCAAACGGAAAGGCCCAAGTTTCTGATTCTTTTCACGTTATTTCACTTTCTTCATCTGTGGTATCGGTTGCATGTGCTCAAGAAAAATGTAGGCAAAATTCAAATTCTAAATGTAGTTAAAGGCAAGGGGAAAAAACATAATGTACAGGTACAATAAGGTATTTTTAAACGAATTAATTTTTTTTCTCTCTCCTGTGAAATGTTGCTTAGTACATTTTAACAGCTTGCCGCCGACATGTATCTCCACTGTCTGTGTCTTTGATGACTGGAATCCTGTATGCAGGTCATAAACACACAAGTTACTCGAAAATACAAAGATCTTACAAATATGTCCACTGATTTGGGGTTTCGTGGAAACTTGCAACAGACAGAATTTCAGTCCTATTAGGATAGTTCGCATTAAACGATGCACTTTATGACAAATCCAACTTATGTATAATCTCTTTATCATCCAAAGAATTATTTAGCTATATCATATAATAATGTCTTCTCACATTTTTACCCCCTTCCTCGAGCTCATACTCATACTGTCTCGAGTCAGCAAAGGCTAAAACACACATAATAATAATGGTGTATGCCCTCTCTGTTTCAGAGACTCAAAGACGAGAACTATCGACTTCGACAGTTTGTGTCCAAACTGCAGGACCGAAGTCCCCACAGTACACCCGAATCAAACCCAGGCCTTGTACAAAAACACCTGGGCACACCTAACCGTAATGACTCACATGATGTGGTTACCGGAAGTGATGTCATTGACGTCCATAGCCTGGACCGGCAATCTCCCGGCCGAGGCAGTCTGATGGTCAAGAATGGTCAGATTGCCACACTTGAGAACCAGATACAGTTCCTGAAAAAACAGGTAAGATATATTTTTCAGAAAACATGTTTGATATAGAATCTTCTTCCTCCTCTACAAGGACTTAAAATGTGCAGTATAAGTCTGTAAAAGGAACGCATTCTTTATACTCATATCTGTGCGTGCATGTGGTGAGGGGGGGGGGGGGAATCAGGCACTCGTCAAAATAACGAAGTATTTTTACAGCCGTTGCGCAATTTTTTCGAACCTTTTTTTTATTGGCATAATACCTTTTATGTCC